ACAGATGGGCCAAAGTCACTGTATTTCTGGCTCAGTGGTGCCATTGCCTTACCTCGAAACATTTAGTCTCGCCCTACCTAGCCTAGCCTAGGTGCCTTGGAAAATAATGGGACAGCATCTCACCTAGAAGAAAAAAAAAAAAAAAAAAAAAAAAAAAAAAAAAAAAAAAAAAAAAAAAAAAAAAAAAAACAAAAAAACAGTATCAAAGGAGTCAGATGATGTGTTTTGTAATCTAACTGGCTATTGAGACTGCAGGAGTAATTCACTGATTCCTGGGCACCAAAGAAATGTAGGCGAGGCGCAATGGTAATAAAAGAAAGCGCCGAACTGATCTGTAAATTAATCAAACTTGTAATATTGAGTGATGGAATTTAACACCCAAGTGTTAAGAGAATTTTGTGTACCACGGGATAGGAAGTTAAATAGCAAGGCTTGTCACCTGCCAAGCGACTCTTGGTACCCTTCCTCAGAAGAGTGGTTCGCCTGTAATATTCGAGCCAGAAGCTCTGTACGAGGTCATGCTACTATTCACTTATACGTCGGGTATCGTATAATAGTAGACACCACCCTATATACAGAGTATTCGAGCCAGTAGCTTAACACACTAATCAAGACTAGAGTCCATGACATCATAGAGCCGATTCATCATGTGTAAAATCAACTACCAGGCTTAACATATAACGAATAGTTACGCTTCGTCAGCGAATACTGTGCATTGTTGGATTACAGTAGCATTTACTCCAGGCTTTTGTAATCGAGGAGATGTTGCCGACGCAGCTTACTGACATCGAGAAAACTGGCTCATGGACAGCATATCCGTCCTTGTTGCCTTCATCTCGGGATGACCACCACGAAGTATTCGACAATACAGCTTACACACATTGTTGTAGCCGTTTCCAAGAGGCAGATGACATATTTTAGGAAAGTTTCCTCCAATCTCATGAAATACCGACACCGGCCTTACAGCATGGCGACATGTCCCCCATGTCTAGTTGAGAAACAGAGACAGCCAGTCTACTTCACGCTACACACCATCTTCTTTGTCACCATCAGGAAATAGGCCACCATGTCTATTCCTAGTCCTTGAGCTGATGCTTAGGAACGTCAAGCTTTCCATACTCTAGTACCTGGTATACATACATACATCTTGCATCCGGAGCCTCTGATTGGCCTATCTTTAGTATTTGTAGTGCATGTACCTTTTATCAAAACTATAGAGAGCGGTTGCAACCCGAAGCACGGAGAAATTTCCGAGGATAAAAGAAGTAGAGAAAGTTGAAAGCCGGCCCTTTGGGGCTGGAATGGAGCCCAATTTTAGCCTCGGGCCAATCATAAAGTCCTTCTTCATTTTTCATGACTGATAAGTTCAGACTCTTTTGAAAATTTGATGGTATCGTTGATATACCCAACTGTTATAGTGAAATGGATGTTGACGAGTTCAGGGCTATAATTAACCTAGATGATCATATGAGTGATCTGACTCATGAACTATGGATTCTTCAGGATGTAATGATATGGCCTCTCGGTAAGCCGGTCTGTGAATCCTCTTGCTTACAATTTGTACACCTTCGTTCCTGTTGCAGAATGTTAGAATTTTCGGCAGAGTATTTGAGCGATAGACACACAGATATCATTTATATCTAATCCCCGGACACTAGTGGGCGCTATCTGTCTGGGCTGCCATAAATATATCCTTTCACTTTTGCCTATCATCTAGAAGAATTTTACCCTCTCTGTCTACTCGAATCCTAATCTACTAAATATACAATTCTATCTCTTATAGAATCTCTGAGTATTTTTATATTTTCTTTTCTAGGTCTTCATTAGTATCGGATCTAATTATTTCTTTTCTAAAAGCAGTAGTTTGCTCTGCTTTAATTATTATTTATAGTATTTCCATATATTTATCTCTGCGGATATCTCTGTCGGATTAATAGATCAGTAGATATTGTTTATTTATTTAGTCTATAACTGAATATATTTTTTTGTATTCATTACTAGATAAAGATTACTAAATTCAAGATATCAAATTTTAGACTGAGCTCTGGGTAACTATCTACTGTCTAGATTAGTTACATAATAGATTTCTGTTTTATATCTTGTTCTGTTAAAAACATAGAGTTATTTCTCTGTCAGAATAGTTATATTCAAAAATTCTGATAGTATAATTAAAAGACTTATCATGGATCCCATTATACCTCTCCATAATAACTGCATTATATACCCTGCCCGCTGTGCATCGACATCGCGGTGACCGAATAGCAACCTCGGAGGGTATATCCGCTGCCTTTTCAATAATGTATAGTAGCCCCCTCTTGATCCTATTCTATGGGGGAAAAGAGAGGTCTCTTTTAGCTATAAAAGATAGCTTGATATCAAATTATCAATAAAAGAAAGGCAAGAATCAGCCTTCTGTCTATATAGTATCTACTGATTGTCCTTTTGCCTACGTACCCTTACCTACTTGACAGATCTTCTACCCTGACTAGTAGATATTTCTTGACAATTTAAAAGCTATAATATAGTTTTAGTTGGTATACTGTATAACGTATATCGATTTATATAACTCGCTGTAAAGATTCTTGAAGTAACTATTATAGACCGAAGGGACTATAATTCTATAATAGGAGGGTATGTAGACTGATAAGACAGATAGAGGGTCTGTTCTAGATCAGTAGCTAAGGACAAGGGCTCCTTAGGGCGGTCTGATGACCCGCTGGCGCCCATGACGGCCACTTGATCTATGGAGAAATAAAATTTTTTTTTTTTTTTTTTAAAAAAAAAGAGAGAAAGAGAGGTGGCGGTTGGGATGCGCCTTGAAATGTGATGAGTGGCATAAGTTATAACATTATGAGTGTTCGTCTGAGCTTTCAAAGTTTAACATGGACCACTGGCCTCCCTGCCTAAAACCATCAACATATCATTAGAATCTATGTAGTATATTTTAGGGCTCCGTTAGGCCCCTAGTACCTCGTTTACAGTGAGGCAATTGTTACCTGAGGTACCCACCGTCACATATTTATATATATTTAAATAATATATTCATTCTGATACTGAAATAAAGTATATAACATTGAATATCTTCGGCATGATTAAGAGCGAATAGAGGGGGTGGTGAGCGGGGTTTCGTCGGTTCTCGGGCGAACTCGCACGGGCTTCGGAGCAGCCACGACGGAAAAAAGAATAAAAGATCTCCTCGCACTGTATGAAACCCAGGTTTGATCGATCCTACCCACACCCCGGTATGAAAAGAGCCTGGTCGACAGGATGTCGAGACTTACCTCCAATGATAGCCTCCCTGCCCAAGAAAACAGCAAGCTCCCAGAGCTCTCGGTTGCCTGTAGTAACTGTCGCAACCGCAAACTGCGCTGCTCCAGGGAAACACCCGCATGTCAACACTGCCGCAAAAATGGTCAGCCAGCATATTCATTACTTCCTCTGTCTCGTAAGACAAAACCAGCTTCTTACAGTGTCACTAACTCAGTACCGCCATAGGAAGCAACTGCGTGTACGATCCCAAACGGTCGAAGCCGGGAATTAAATCCGGGGCTATTGAAAATATACACCGACGGCTAGGTATGGTAATGAAGCGTGCCTCTGCTGGTCAACGTAGAAAATACCACCACTCCGCTATCCTTGCTAGAAATTGTTAGAATTGCAGACGAGGCTCACGTGCCCACCGCTAGATCGTCTGGAAGACTTTGTTCTCGACCGACTGGGAGACGATACACCAGACGAGTCCAATCAACGAACACAGCCGAGTACAAACCAGTCCACGGCAGGTTCTATTCTCTCTGCGCTGGCACGGGAGCTTCAGGCATTCAACGACCAGCCGTCACCCGAGGCCGCCGATCGCCGAGCTAAACGACAACGGGTAGACCACCAGGTCGGCCATTCTCGGTCTTCGCTGCCGGACGTGGATCCCCGCTTAGTCCTTGATTTGCTCAGCCCTAACACGATTGAGGATGTTTTGCAGACTTACTTCAAGTATATACACCCGTGGATCCCTCTCGTCCACGAAGACAGCTTGCGTAGACGACTTCTCGATCCACGACATAGGTCAAAGCTGGACGTCCTGGTGCGAGCGATGATATTAGTATCTGGGAGATTCATACAGCGCCACGAGGCCGTATCCGACATCTCCCTGGCGGATCTGGCTACGGAGCAGGCCAGGAGACTGGTCGTTTCGACTTCGATGGATTGCTTAAGCGTTGAAAATCTCCAGGCCCTCGTAATTTGCGTGTTTAATGACGTGAGGGTTTCCTATTCCAATCCTATTCACGTATCGTGAGATATTATACATTCTGGATGCTGTCAACTAACTTGACCTTCAGATTGGAAATGGGTGGGGGGACAAGGCATGGTCCTTAGTCGGATCGCTGACGCGGACCGTTGAATATTTGAAACTGACAGTCGAAGACGAGGACTGCCGAAGCCGTACATCGATTTCAAGGCCGTTTATCTCTCTGGCCCCTCCGCAGAGCTGGGTCGAGGCAGAGGAGCGACGTCGGGTGTTCTGGAATGTATTCAACCTGGACCGCTTTTGCTCGGTGGCAATGGGTTGGAACACTAGCCTTACCTCGGACGATGTGCACCGCCGTCTTCCTTGCGATGGAGTCTATTGGAGAAGAGATAAACCCAATGTGACGGCCTTTTTTGGCATCTGGGACAAGTCAGCCGCGCGGATGGGGAATCCTGTTGCCTTGCATCCGGCCCATTACGTGTCTCCGCAAGGTACAGGGACTAATGACGCCCCAAAACAGAGTCTAGCCGACGCCAGTGACTCTGTCTCAGCGCCAGAAGATCCCCTGATGGAGGCTGCTGGGGCTTTCGCCTACCGGATCGAAGCAACCGAGTCGCTGAGCCGCGTCATGACCTACTTCCTTCAACAAAAGATCGACACGCACAGTCCAGAGAACGTCACCAGCTGGCTCACACGGTTCAAAGAACTGGACCTACGCCTGGTCCACTGGAAGATGCTGCTGCCGAAGAAGTGGAAAGCCGCAAACCCTACCAACACAACTGTCGACCCTTACGGCGCAATCAACCAGGACGACCCACCCAGTAGCAGTGGAGGAGCAACGGGGCTTGGATTCGATGCCAAACACCCAACAGTAGTGATGGATCCAAATCTCACATTGGCTCACATCACCCACAATGCTTCCATGATTCTCTTACATCAGCCGATTGCGTTTCCCCCCCACGACTGGGCTTTCCGCAGCCGATTACCCAGCAGTTGCTCTGCAGAAACCTGTCAGCAGGCGGCGGTTGAAATCGCCACTATTACTGAACAATATCTTAAAATGTCTCCCGCAACCTTCCCCGTCTATCCCCAGTTTTCATTCTGCGTATATGTGGCCGGCCGACTCCTGCTAGCCTATAGGATCTACTACAGTGGAGAGAGCACTGCTCTATACTCCAGATCGGGTGTGGATGACAGATTCTGGACGCTGGTCCGAAGCCTAGATGAGATGTCGCGCCGATGGAACGGGAACATTATGGTCATGCCAGAGACCACAAATGTGACCGAGGACTTGGCGGCAAAATACGCCTCAAAGCTGAGGGAGATGAACGAGATGTGCACACAGGGTCTGGGCTACAAAATAAATGTCCTGGATTACACGCAAGATATCGACCATTGTAACAGGAAGATCGGCCGTATTGTAGGGGATCACGTACCTGTGTCAACTCCAAATGACGCGACCCGACAGCCATATCTACACTGGCAGACACAGTCAGAACACAACTCCCAAGGTGTTGGAAAGCCCAAGGAGAACCAGCCGAATGGGAGCCTCATCAATGCGGCACCAGCGATGGCATTACCCTGCCCTTCAACCTCAACACAGCTTCCTAGAAATCCTAACGACCGACACCAGACAATGTACGGGCAAGAAGCTTACTCCCCAGGGAGAGATCAAGTGCCCTGCGACCTAGGTGCTATTTCACAAGTATTGCTGGGCCATCAATTCATGGATTTGGACCGGATTATCAGCTTTGATAACGGAATGTTCAGTGCCAATCTAGAACAATATTGGTGAAGTGCGATTAAAGGGCCAATTATACTATATAAAGTCCGTTAGATTGTATATATTTCGCTGTATCCTGGGCCGGTACTATGGGCTATATGGACGTATAATATCTAAATATGTCCCTGTTTCTTGGTAATACTGCGCGGGTCTATACTAAGCCCATGCGCATCAGCTCGTTTCCAAATCTCACCAAGTAATAATCACCATACACCAGACCATGATTCGCATATCGCCTCCTCGCATTCTCATTGTTGTTAGCTGTCCCATGCTTAAGGATCGCATCGAACCGCTTTCCCTGCACTACGTCCTCCACGGCCAAGCCTTCTTTCAACTCCTCTCCGTTTCTGCCAGGAACACATCGAAATCGTGCAGTCTCCCTCGCCAATGAATAATCGAGCGTACCTCTTATCAACTGCACCGCCGCGTCAAAAAATCTCGTTGCAAGCGATATCTCTCTGTTCCCAATCAGCGCTTGCGACAGCAGGAGCAACCCATTCGCCGCGATGGCTGCGGCGCTGGAATCCCGCACAACGTCGTGGCTGTCATTCTCCCCCATGGGAGCATCAAAGTCCCATGGGGGGGATGTGTACTGCATCCTTCCACCTCCAGGTCCCCGAGCAACAGGGTGCGTTTCCAGCCTATCCAGAAAATACTCTGCCGTGCCGCACGCCACCTCCAGGAACTCCCTGTCCCCAGTCCACGTGTAGGTCTGTGCATACCCTAGTATTGCCCAGGCCTGACCACGAGCCCAGGTAGACCCGTCACCGTACCCCTGCGCTGTCATACGACGTTTGATGTCTCCAGTCTTCGGATCAATACATGTGACGTGGTTGGTTGAGTATAGTTGGCCTTTATATCTTCCGACCGTACGTTGTGGGAGATGCGGCTCTGGACGCAGATGGGTGCGTATCACGGTGCGGGCATGGGCGACGGCGATCTCCGCGAGATATCCGGAAGAACTATGGGCGGCGGCATAAAAGAGTAGGTCCAGGTTGCACAAGGAGTCGATGATCACAATAAGATTGGTCCTCATATCTGTGATCCGTGTGTCCTTCCTGATCAAGAGATCCCAGCTACGGATAGCCTTCGCTGAGGCAACATACCTCGTTGCGAGGCTCTTAGCGGCCCTGACAATAGATGCCAGGCTGTGGGAGTTGCCAAACAGCTCCCAATCCTTACGCAGAGCAGGCATGACAATGAAGCCTATGTCGTGCGTGTCCGTCCTGCTGGCCATATTGTGTAGCGGCTCCGACCATTTTTCACACATAGCACGGAGCTGATCTCGTCTCTCCTGTGGCGATGAATGGAGGAAGTACACAGTTGACTGGGGATAACGGACTGTCCGTTCAAGCAGCTCATACAGGGTCCCGGGGAAGAAACCACAGGTCCAGAAGTCTGCCTCACGGAGGTGGTATACGCTTGGCTTCTCGCCGTGCTGGGGATTCTGGGGCACGTATTCTGGAAATGCGCGAGGGAACTTTATCGCACGTTCCTCGGGTGATGCATCAGCACCAGGGAGAGACTCGCATGCGACACGCCAGACCTTCGCCAAAATGTTCTCGGCAAAGAGGTCTGCAAGATGCTCCCTTAAATTTGGGACTGATCTTGAGACATCCACATCTAGGCAATGACCATTACCTGTTTCACCGACAGAAATGACCTCACTGGATAAGGGTGAGTGAGGTGATGGTGTGGACTTTGATAGTAATGCCCCAGCGGCCTCTGGACTCGACATCAGCCCATGGCGTTCGATGATTGTTTCTGTAACAGACATACTTGCGCGGTCGGTTGTCCAGGAAAGGAACTTTGTAGTGGCTCGTGCCAACGGAACCTATATAAAAATGCGGCTGGCGCTTTGATGTTAGTGCTAGCATCAGGGCCTTTATGCAATCCACAAATGCCACTATCTGTCCCGCCGCTGGATATTTACCAACGTTTAGTAGCGTTGGGCAAAGCCTAATACTCCACTCTGTGCCTTGTACCATACTACTCCCGGCGCCAATCATCCGACAGACGCTAATGCAGCACCACTGTCTGCCTTCTTGCGGGGAAATGTTCTCCGGCATATGGTTCTGAATCGTCCGAAGTCCGTGGACCTTCCCCCGAGGCACTAAAGCAACGAGAACCCCCACCCTTTTCTTGGCACACAACAGACCCAGCAATCGGGAGCCATGAGCTGGTCTTTAAACTTCAATCTCGTATCGCTTCCCTCTAAGTGCTGGTATGTATATAGATGCTGCAGCATCCTGATCGCGGTCTGGTTGCGCCCCAGCTTCCTCTGGACACAGTTATTCTCTCCTTGGGCCGTGGACAGTCTCAGAAAGAATACACCTTTAACATAATATGGGCTTCGGAACCAGGACGGCCTCGCCGCCGCGTACCACTAACGAGCCCTGCGACGCAGAAAAGGGCCTGGTTGTTGTGAGCTCCACGGCCAATCGACCAGCTGCTCCCTCGTTGTGGAAGGCATGGCAATATATCTTCGATTGGTACCCAAGCCATTATTCAAAGGAGGAGCGCAGGCTTCTGCGCAAGTTGGACTGCTTCATTATGCCGCTGTGCTGTCTCATGTGTGAGCCTTCCTTCTAATCACTCCGAACAAAGCTGGCCATGGAAGAGAATGCACGTGCTTAGCGAATGAAGGATCATCTGTGTTCGGGCGGAAGTATCAGAAAAGATACCCACATACTGACGGAGATGATATCTAGTTTTCATCAAATGGCTTGATCAAGGTAACACCAATAATGCCTATGTTTCAGGCATGAAGGAGGAGCTCCATCTGAACGGGAACCAGTATTCCCTGTTTGGGACGTTCTACAATATAGGATATCTCCTCTTTGAGATCCCATCCATGATGCTGATCTCTCGGCCCAACCTGTCCCGCTACTACCCGCCGACCATGGAGCTCCTCTGGGGAATTGTGACCTTTTGCCAGGCACGCATGCGCAACGAGCACGATATCTTCGGTGTCCGCTTTCTGCTGGGCGTGCTCGAGACTCCGGCCTCCTCGGGTTGCCTCTATATTTTAACCTCATGGTACCGCGCCGACGAGGTTTTTAAAAGAGCGGGAGTGTGGTACGTGAGTAGCAATGCCGGCTCCATGTTCGGAGGATACCTGCAAGCCGCCACATACACCAATCTCAATGGTGTCTTGGGCATGGCGGGCTGGCGCTGGCTGTTCATCATAGTGAGTATTCCATGGCTCCCTTCGCTGATGACCAGGGAATGATGAGGAGCTTATGTATTACTACACAGGATGGTATCATCAGCGTTCCAATTGCAATTGCTGGGTTCTTTCTCTTCCCAGGCATCCCTCAAAGCCCCCGAGTTTGGTGGCTCACCGAGCGGGACCAGCAACTTGCACGCGCCCGAATGGGCGATGACGGCGTCAAGGAGAGCACGAAGATAGGAAAGCGCATGCTCAAGCGCGTGTTTATGCACTGGCATTTCTACATCGCTATCGCTACTTACGTCTGGTATGTCCCTAAGCATAGTGTTTGGCAGGGCCGGACTGACTCTTGAGGTAAACTCCAGCTTTCAGTGTACCAGCTATGTTAGCGGGCAAATGGCCCTGTGGCTGAAATACGAGGCGGAGCAACACGGCACTTACACCATCCCACAGATCAATACGATTCCAACTGGTGTCCAGGGAGTCGCTATAGTGACCGGCATCCTTTCGACCTCTCTTTGCATGGTCTACCCGATCTGGACCACCTTCACGGCCGCCTCCGCGGTTCTTCTCTTTTGCAACGTCGTTCTTCTTGTGTGGGATATCCCAGTTGGGCTTCATTTCACGGCCTACTATCTTTTGGGGTTGACCTCTTGTATTACCCCAATCCTGTTTCCTTGGGTTAACATGATCATGAAGGACGATGCCGAAGCTAGGGCCTTTACGACGGGAGCGATGGTGGGTTTCGAACTTTCGTTTTCTTTCTCCTCTTTTTTCTTCACTCTTCGCCTTTCTTGGGCAACTTAATTTCTCCAGAGTTCGGACTAACTTCAGTTTGTTCTCATAATTGACAGATGACCTGCGGGTGGATCTTCTTTTCTTTCTACCCCATCACGACCTTCCCTGTTCTCGAGGCGCCCAAGTGGCGCAAGGGCTTCATCGTCAACACAGTTTTGACTGTCACTTACTGGTGCCTGTTTATGTTGGGCCAGTATTTGTGGAAGCGAGAGTTGAAGCGGCGTCAAAGCCAGGTGGTTGTCGATGGAGACATTGTCGAGACCGAGAAGGAGACCGAGCTGGGCGCATCAAGCAACCATGTGGAAATCACAACCAATGATGAGATTAAGATTGAGAGGCTATGAACAGTAGAAGTCAATGAAGTGGATGGGACAAGGGTGAAGAGTGAGGGTTAAACGGTTAATGGGTGTTCTGGCAAACTTCCTTTTTCCTCGACTGTGATCAATTCTTGGACTGCTGTTGCCTCGTTGCTGTAGTTGTTTATAATCCACATAAATTGATAGCTGAACATGAATCATACAATCACCCGAAATCCGTACATTATCCCGAAGACCGACAGCAGGCTTGGCACTCAATGACTTATAAGTGCCCGGAGGTCCCACCGGCCTTTGGAATCTCTCATTCCCCTACGCATATGCTAGTCTCGATCTAGGCCCGCACGTCGAATACAAGGCAAAGCTCCAACCATGCCCGCACTCCCAGGCTTCACGGACAATCCATTCCAGACCCGCTCTGACCTCGTACGGGCTAGCGTCGCTTTGCTAAATCCGCTCAAACAGTACCAGTCTCCCCAAAAGGCCTTTATCAAACTGTCCACAGACACTGCAGCAGGGTTTGATGAGCTCTCCGCCCAACTAGAGGGCTTTGCACGGCCATTGTGGGCCATCGCAAGCCTTCTGGCTCCTGGAACTAGTACAGATAGCCTTGGCCTTGATGTGGACTCATGGGCCTGTGGCTTACGGGCCGGTACAAACCCGGCATCGTCGGAGTATTGGGGTGATCTGGGCGACTTCGATCAGCGCATGGTGGAAATGGAGAGCATCGCATATGCGCTGCTGATGGCCCCTACAGCATTCCTGTCTGGGATGGACGCGGTGGCCCAGGAGCACCTAGAGACGTGGCTGCGCCAAATCAATGGACGGCAAATGCCCCAGAACAACTGGCGCTGGTTTCGCGTGCTGGTCAATCTGGCGCTGGGATCCCAGGAAGAGGTTGTGGTGGCCCAGGATTTGAAGATGCTGGACTCATTCGATCTTGGTGAGGGGTGGAGTAGCGACGGGCTCTGGGGAAACGAGAGGAAACAGGCCGATTATTATTCGGGAAGCTTCGCAATCCAGTTTGCACGGATGCTATATGTGAGGTTCATGGAGGATAGGGGCTTAGCTGCCGAGGATCAGAGCAGGGTTGAGAAGTATAAGCTGGAGGCGCGACAGTTTGCGTCGGGGTTTTGGAGATATTTTGATGTGGATGGTATGTTGGCCTATCAATGACTTTCATTTCTCCAGTGTCAACGCCCCTGCGTCCCGGTATCAACATCTGAATCCGACACGTATATTTCCAGAAGTTAAGACTCACTTGGTGGCCCCTAGGAAGTGCCATTCCGTTTGGCAGGAGCCTGACGTACCGGTTCGCGTCCGCGGCATTCTGGTCCGCAGTCGCCATAGCGGGTGTACAGCTCGATGAACCGCTCAACAAGGTCGGCGTGATCAAAGGTCTCCTCCTCCGCCATCTCCGCTGGTGGGGAAAGCAGCCTGGCATGTTTAACCCTGACGGGACCATCAATATCGGGTATGCCTATCCAAACATGTTCCTCAGCGAGAACTACAACTCCCCGCAGTCCGCATACTGGTGTCTAAAATCGTTCACCATTCTTTGTCTACCTGAGAGCCACCCCTTCTGGATAGCCAAAGAATTACCGCACCCACTCGCAGCCCCGATCTTGCTTACGCAGCCGCTCCTCGATGAAGTCAAACTCCTCTGGCCGCCCCGACATATCCTTTGCGGCGGACGCAGCCACCACTTTCTGCTCTCGTCCGGCCAAGGGACCACCAAGCCCCACCCTGCCAGAGAGGCAAAATACGGCAAGATGGCCTACTCGTCCTTCTTTGGGTTCAGCGTCCCTAGTGGCGCACTGCTCGAGCAGATGGCCCCGGACAGCACGCTGACTGTCAGCCTCGATGACGGCGAGGCATGGATTGTACGCGCAGATCCATTCAATGTACGAAGTCGGCAGATCCCGATCCTCACTTCCAACGCAGATGCTGGCATGGAGACTGGAGCGAGAACTGTGCCGGCTCTTGTTAGTACCTGGAGACCCAAGAAAGCAATTGAATTCGAGGTCCGAACTACCCTCATTCCCGCCTTGGAGCTGTGGCCAGGATGGCACTTCCGTATACACAAGGTGAGGTGGTCCCCGGCGGCCATCGAACCTGGCCCAATCAGAGTCGTTGACGCAGGCTTTGCGGCTTCTGGTCTAGCAAGAACAGGCCGGTTGTGTACAGAGAGCGAATTGAGGATGCTGTTGGATCAGGATGCCGCCGTAGTAGAAGCATGGGGGAAAGACGAACATAGTTGTTTGATCCTCTCGGATGGTAGCGCGAGTGGCGTGGTTGATTTACAACCGGATTTGACGCTTGCGCCGTGTTTAGGAGATGGCAGGCTTGAGAGCAAAAGCCCATTGATGCTGCGAGCTGATGCAAATACTAATTTAATCATGCAAAGGACTTTGATACCCGCGGTTCAGCACATGCTTGTCGCGGACTCTGAGCGCAAATCTGCGGCTGAGATGTGGTTAGCGACGGGAATATTCGCAGTTTCAAAGACGTCTGGTATTGACGTTACGGAGGTGCGGAGATTATGGTTCAAAAGACCCAAAGTACAGGTGACAGCAAAGCCAGGGGACGAAGATGAGATCCGAATCATGCTACACTGAGGTTGGGTGCTTTTGCTTTCTGTCGATAGTTTAGGTTTCATGTATCATGGTTTCTCTTGTTCATCCTTTCTTCACCTTGATCCAACTAATCATTTTGGATTGAAGCAATAACCACGATGTTTTCGTTACTCCTACCCTCTCTCGCTGAGGTCACCTTCGTAGCGAGAGGAGACCCTCCCTCTCTCCCTCTCCCCCTTCCTTTTAATTCATTAGATTCTCCCCAGTTCCAGAATACCTACCGACTGTCCCATGAACAAAGCGATACAAGCCCTATTCGGTCCTCGACTGTGCGCAGCTCGTACCACAGGCGCATAGTTCCTGCATCTAATCAGGACTTCAGCCTGGAATTGCATGTATGTTTTGTCTGCCTTTCAGCACTTTCGAACCAATTTGCTTCCAAATCATCCTTGTCCTTTGTCGCCCTTGTGGTGTCCTGAGACCGTTCAGACTAAATCAGTGCATCGGATGAATCCGACGTGTATGGATCTTCCTAGAAATCTATTTTAATTTTCTAGGTATTTTGTTAGTGGGCATACAAATTCCGAAACTTTAGGGGTGATGTCCCTGTACCGAGAGCGTTGACGGCGCTTGAATATTGTCAGGATCCTGACATGTGAGGGGAAGCAAATCGTGATGGGACTGGTGCTGAATGCAAGTTAAACCTGTGATGTGAGTGAGATAGATTTGGTTGGAATGAATCCCAAGTGCAGACAATAGGAACCATATCCAGGAAATGGCGCGGTGTGTGTAGGGGAAGGTCAACTCTTGTCTTCAAAATCTGAATCCAATAGGCGATAGCGTTTTTGGGACACTTATAGCGAACAGGAGCACAGTGTAACTACTTCCACGGGGATCCTGCCATGAGCAATTCACTAGGAGTCCAATCCTCTGTTGGTGCAAGATCATTGTTTATGTTCGCTAGTATAGCCAAAAGGTCTCACACTGGATTTATCATGAAACCTTGGGCATTGCCTGCAATTCAACTGTTAGATGGTCGACATAGCGCCGCTACTCATGTACGACAGGCTGGACCTTCAATACAGTGGCCTGAGGGGGAAAGGGGTATCCTGAAGTTGACCGTCTGTTTGGTAGCTTTGGGGTAGAGACTACGTGGGCGAAGCACTGTCGGCGCTTCTGTATGCACGGCATCGAGCTTATTCAAGATTCACCTGGTCTACCACCCCTTCATCGGGACACATTGAGAACCCTGCCTTGTCGCTTCTGGAGCTTGCAGGGAGGTCTTTGGGCAGACGGTGCCAGGATGTTCATTCATTGGGCCTGAGATATCTCTCAGACTGCCACTAGATAAAATCCATCCAGCTCAGTGACAGGCCAGCGCACATTTAGCGGCTCTTCCTGATTGCCGTGATGTGAGTGGACATCAACGGGGGTTTCTAACTGGACTAGAGCTGCTGGTCGCTCATGAGATATTTGTACTCCCTCTCATCCCCGCTGTACCGATCACACTCGAGTCCGTATCATCCTAGAGTCTGTCGTTCAGGCCAAGGGATTTGTAGGTCGTTCGAACCTCCCTCTCCAACGGGATCGTCGTCTACGCGCGAAAGTCACCTGGCGGTATTTGTTGCAACTGGGGTGGATTCCTGTCGTAGCTGCTTTAGGTCCGCTGCGTGGTGAAATGACCACACGATGATCTCCTCTTGATCTTCTCAAATCATCCTGTTGGTTGGTACACAAATTAGTACAACGATTGCACCATGGCGATCGATTCGAAGATTGAGCTTATTGGTGATAGGGCCAATTGTGTCATATTTTTTTCAAGAGGGGCTACTGCTGAGGGGGCGCCGTAGCAGACCGTCTTTGGGCGTCAAATGAATCCAGACGAAGAGCCCAGGGGGTGGTGATATGGACGAGGAGTTTTCGAAGCCCTACTAGTCCGGCGAGTACTGCGCATAAGGTATAAGCTATTAAGGTGATTTTATCTCCTTGAATCTATCGACTAGTTCACCTCTGCCTTGTTAATTCTGTAATGTGCCGTAGCTGGAATGTCGTACAAAGATGTGGATGCCTGTTATGGATGGAATAGCTTTCACTTAATTTTGTGCTCGGCCACAATATATATGTGACCGGATCACAACTAGAATGTAAGGACCTGTGAGATGGACGCAAAAAATGACGCACTGAAGGCATAAAGGACTCTCTTCCCATCTGGAAAATCCGACCAGTGAACTGCTTCTTTCTGGCATCTTTCAGATGCTTTGCACTACGATTCTGCACCCGCAAAGCAGTCTGGTTATCGCCACGGAGGTATTCGAAGGCATATCGGATCTGTAAAGAGTCATATTTTAAATACTGTACAGAAGAAAGGCCGTATCTTATGCGGAGCAATTTTTGCATAGTGGGACTGCGGGACATGGGAATATAAAGCAGGTCAACAATCTGCCCAAAGTGAGATTTAAAAGTTTTATTTATTTTTTTTTTTGACAAAGGTCGCCTCTCCAAAACGGCCTAACGGATACTAAGCCATATCAATTGCCTTCTAAATCGCCTGTTGTCTGAGTAGCAACTTATGGGACGGGAAGGGATAGCCACCCCCTAAACCGTCTCTCTAGAGTTTGCGTTGAATCAAAATGAAGGTCCAATCTCCCCACTGCTACCATCGCTGTTACTTGGTAAACGAATACGGCCTGCTACTGTAAGAAGCAAATGCCACATCACATCCCAATAGATCGAGCCATCAGTCCACAGCGTCAAAACGTTAATTTGAGGTGTGAAACGTCATTTACCTATTGTGGAGCATAAGAGGAGAGATGCAGAGACGCGGCGGATATTATTAATAGTATTGGGGTCATCTACTTTCATTTTGATGGGTCCCATAGGATATAGACCCAGAGGTACGCGCTCTTTTGACCGAAACTCAAGAGTAATCTGTGTATAGTAGTATGTAGAAAAATTAGGATTATTTGGCGAGTGCATATCTTCAAGGATTAGTGTCCTCTATCCGGATTGTATCCATCGCAGGCCTGCAGACTCATCTCGTACTTTGCCCATCCAGCTCAGCTGGCTCTCGCAATTGTTTGTATGATTGAGAGCCATCTATCACGGAATGGATCTACGGTCACAACAGGCTCTCAAAATATAGACGCAGGAGGAAGGCAAAACGGGCATTAAAGGCATGTTAATTAGAAAACAGCGATGAGCCAGGGCCATCAATACTCTCCAGGTCATATAGGCCAGGTACAATCTCTGTGGTTACATTCTCCTATTTTTACGGTTCCAAAGGATGGTATGCAGCCTTGTCAATACCCCCCACTGCCTTAGCATGGTATGGAGCCTTGCCACTAGCCCATCCCAACAAAACACGTCGCCTTGTCGTGAGGCTGTCGGTCTGAATTCGGCGACTATACTCCGTACCCTCGACCCACCCACTCCGTATTGTTTCTTTTCCGAGCATCGAATCCCTGTTCGTGAACCCACCGGTAAAGCCTTACGGGCCAGACGTCCAACGCGATTGGCCCTCTTGTGAGAATAATTTACAGGCGGGCATACTTGAGGCGAAATCAAAGGGGACGGTCGTGGCAGTCTTTCTCTCAGCTGGTCAGGTAAAATGGGAATCTAACTTCCCCTGGCCCTTAAGATCTAGGCTATATGGCCTTTGACATGCTGTAACTCCATACTCGTAATGATATAGAACAAGGTAATTGCTATAGAAGGATTCAAAAGACTCGCAGGGGAACGAGGGAGTGGAATTCTTCTTTCTTATTCTCGGCTTGGTACCCTTGTTCTCCTACGGTTGCACAGCCTTACTCGCAAGGATGATCATCTAATGAATTCTCCCCCGGACGGGATGATCAGCAGTCACTAGTGTGATATGTACGCGACTGTACTCGAATTGCAGGAAATTTCATCCCTGGATACCTGGATGTATATATTCGTCTAGTTCCTCAGTCCCTGAACACATGCCTTATAAAACTCTGAACATATTATGAGCACATAGGCGCGTCCCGTCCAGATTTATATTTTCGTTTATTTTATTGCTGCCATGACCGAGCGAACTGAATCTATATCGTTGAATCAACTTTCCGGGGCATCCCAGCACAATTACACTCAAACTGCGGGCCTCACAGGACGACCCAACTCCACCACCCACTTCCGTTCTCCCGCCAAGCCCCGGGGAATCTGATCAAGACCCGACTGGAGGTACCATAGATCAATCTCCATTTCCCTCAGCATGGCTGCATCGCTCTGGGTATATCCTCCTTCTCGTATTTGTCTACACTATCCTCGCTCTGTTCTCGTGGCCGGTCACAAGCTATCTATCGTTTCGGCCAGTCTATGCTTATAGTCATAAGGAATTATACAAGGCTGCCACAGTGATGCAAGCAATTGTCAACACTTTAACTATTCCTTTAACTTCTGCAGTGTGTTCAAGTGCCGCAGTAATCTTTATACAAAGGAAACAAAGTAATCTTTCTCTACGGCAAACTATGGTCCTTGCGGACAAAGGCTGGACCGACTTGCCAACGTATTGGAATCTCTTATCTGGATTCAGCTCGCGAGGCTGGCAGAGATACGGAAGCTCTTTCCTTTTCATTGGAATATTCGCAATCCTTCTCGGCCCTATCGTAAACGGCCTACAGCGACTCTTCGTGACAGACACAATTACCAAGATCTCTGGGAATCCTGGAACTGTTCCCAACTTGTTTGGTATGCCAGACCCTTGGAGGAAATGCGCTAAGTCTACGCCTCTAGGTTTGACTGTCCTTCAGACCCGCAGCGCGCTAGGATTTCTAAGTGAAGGGCAAAAGCCGGCTCAGCTATGGCACCGTGGTAATTCAACCTGTCCTAATGCATCTCTGTCTGTCTATCAGCCGGAGGACTGCGCCGGTCCTACACTTGGGAACATACTCTCTTTGGATGATCCATTTTTGGCGCAAATAGGTCGCCACTATAATACCGGGAGAGTCCAAAGTTTTATACCTCGCATCAATTCGACCGCACAGTTTCAAGATATTTCAAGCTCCGATTTCTCACAGAAGTGTGATTCAATACCGGGAGCTTTCGTTGCCGAATACCAAGATAGCATGTATCAGAACTGGGGACTGAAGGCTTGCATACCTGCCAACATCTCGCAATCTCCATGGAACCTTACAAGGAAACGCCAGGACTTTGAAGAAGAGCTTTTTCTTAACATCACAGCGAAAAATGACGCCTTGGTTATAACTACTACTTTTTACAACGTCACACTGCGCACCACAGCGGGGTACTTCGAACTGCCTAACAATATGAATGATGGCCGCGCTGGTCGATTGCTTGAGAACGACCCATTTGATATGGAGGACTGCGGTCTAGACTGTTCAGGACCACACGCCATCGATACCGCCAATCCAGAAATTATTGAAAGGAACAAAGGCCCACTAGCGATAATTGCCATCGCTCCTTTCGGAGAAGGATCATTTATAGCTACCCGTTTGGCCAATCCATCTGCCTTCAAGAGCAATGGTACTGCTTCCGGGCTGTGTGTGGATCTGGTTCCACTCGGACATTTTCTGACTGACAATCTTCTTGAGCCTTACTACTGTGTCAAATCATATTATAGTTCGGATACCGGGGTATCTGATGAAATTCGGCGGTATTTGCTAAACTTCCAAATTGGCAGGGAGGATCTCCAGAATGCTTTTGAGGCGGCAGCATTTTTAGCCAACCAGGCCTGGATGGAGAGCCTTACTCCATTTTGCAATACGCAGACTCTTCACTATGACAACGGGCTTGATACTCAAGTACCCGTTATTTCGATAGCGGGTTTGGTACTCATCTCTGTTCTTCTCGGACTGCATCTTCTCATTCTGATCGTCCTCGCCACTTGGTCTGCTATGTCTTCAAGATGGACGACCAGTCTCGACTCTTTTACTATGATGAGAATCGGAGGTACAATTGTGGATAGTATTCCCTTGAAAATTGCACATCGCTGTAATCTCTCGAACCATGTTTCTTTCAGTTCGACGTCGCGATAAGCCTGTACTTTGCGCAGAATACCAATAGCAGCATCGGACTGCTGCAGCTGATTGTTAATTGTGATCAAGGCTTCGACAGCTCCAGAGTTCTGATCTTGCTCGAATTCGAGCTCCTTGTAGTGGAGAGCCTTGGCAAAGGCATGACACTTGGCTGCATATCTGCCGAGTGTACGGATATCGATGGGAAGGGCTTTGTCATCGTGTTCTATGAATTCGGCAAGGTTGAGAAGAATTTGCAGGATTTCGGGTGAGATATTCGGAGAGGTGAGGGCTTTTTCGATGGAACGAACCAGCTCTTCCTGGTACTGATCATATAGCTCGGTCCAGCATGACACGAACGCTGCGTTGAACAGCTCTCTTGCCAGGGGCTGATAGATTCCAGCCAGGCTGGCACAGGCTCGCAGAGCCGGAGATGGCGATTCTTTCAGAAGCTCGACGCTGAATCGACGAATCCACTCCTGCCAATCTTCTCTGGTTGACTTTCGCGAAGCATTCTATGTATTCTTAAGATGTTGCTGGTTAACAAGGATCTTTTTTTGGCTGATCTCAGCAAAATTGGTATTATCAGCAGGGAATGCGTACTTCTCCGGTGGGTTTAGATTATGTGGGAGCGGATCGCCCTTTTGCAGCTTCGTCACAAGGATCTGATAGTTGATATGATCGATCTGATGCTGCTTAAGGACCTTGTTCATAGGGTGGATGTAATTTATGAAATCCTGTCCAAGCTGGAAGATGAGAGTGCAGGTGCAGTCCATCGCAGCTTGACGCAGGACGCGGTCACTGCTAGCCGCAACGCGTGACAGGGAATGAATCATCGGAGATGCGAAGTCGGAGACGTTTACCTGTCGCGAAAGTTTGGTAAGACTATCGATAGCAGACTTGCGAATGCTCTGGGAGTGTTGTGGTAGATCAAAGAGTCGGATAATGGATGGGATGATTAGATGCATGTATTCCTCGCCGCTTGATCCGAAAATCAGAAAGGTATGGAGAATTTTCTCCGATGGCTGACGATGAGGAGTATTATCCTTCTCAAGTATGTTAAGCATCAGTGGGATCAGTCGAGCAAGATAGTTTCTGAGTTCTCCTTCCAGGGACCTTGCAATAGCCTCCACCAAAGATATTATGGTACACTGTACTTGGTACGACGCATCCCAGAATTCCTGGATCACATCAATGATCTCTGGAAGGAAGGCATGAATGTGCTGCCGCACGATATTGACCACAATCGCCATCTGATTGAAATAGGATTCAAGCCGACTGGAGGGAGAACTTCACAAGACGGAAATGAATGCGGGGATGATTTGTCCAAGGAATGGAATACATTTCAAGCTGAGTGTCTTGAAAATGGTGACAATGGCGTCGATCACAGCAGAATGATATTGAGTCAAAGAGTTCTCCCTCAGGATATTCTGTAGCAAAGTGTGAATGGCCACTGTGGGATAGTATTCCTCGTTCGACGGGGTAAGGTCCTGTATGATCAAGGCGACATCTGATACATTTTGAATTTCATTGATATAGTGAGCATGGGGCTCGATGTCACTGATCTGCTGGTATTTGTAGGGGTCCAGAGCACCCAAAACACCAAGGAGCTTAGTCGTCTCCTTTCGAAGGGACCCTGTTTGTTCGGTCTTGATGATGTTCATGAGAATATCAAGGAGGTGGAGGTATTCGAGATATGGCTCGATCACGTAGCCTGAATTGCTGGCCAATTGGCCCAGGGTCCTCAACGTCGCCTCTCGCTTCGTGCGAGAAGAAAGATCCTGGAGCAAATCGAGAATAATCGGCATAATCTGGGCGAGGTAGCTCCTCATCTCACCCCCTCCGACGTTGGCAAGTTCGCCTACAGCCTTCAAGGTGACGGCAGCGACACCGGGATTCGGATCAGTTGTTTTCGGCAACAGCGCTGCCACTATCGGGTCCACATAGGATCTGATCAGCTTAGTGGCATTTGAGACAAACAAGCTGATGAGTTGGGCGGCTTCTTCCTTCTGGCGGGCTGTGTTGGCGAAACCCAAGCCGGTCAGAAGGTTAACCAGCAGTTTCCGCAGAGGCGGAAAGACATAAGCAGGATTCGCGGTAGATAGGCGGCCGATTATGCAAATTGCGGCTTCCTTAACTTCGAAGACTTTATCGTTAACAGCCAAGAATAAGCATCGGATATTCTCTGGCCGTGCCAGATACCGATTGAACTTGGGGTTCAGAGACCAGAGGACAGTACGTCGGATCTCTAGATCAGGGTCACCAATACCAACCGTCAAGAGCTTGTCAATAACTTCACTGACAACATAGATTGAATGCCCACTGGTCTAATTGATGATAGGGTCATGAACAAACAGCTGACAGTATGTAAGAACAGACGCTTTGCGGATCTCGGCACTGTCACTCTCCACATAATTGATTGCCACATTGCGAACGAACTCGGTCAAGATGTGACCCGAGAAATCAAAGCTCCTCAAGGTGTGAAGAGCCAAGGCAATCTCAGTATTAGAGTGAAGGTTATGAGAAGCAAGGCCTTTTGCGAATGATAGTATGGGGGGAAGGCGGTTCTCTTCGCAGCCAAGCGGCCGGAAGGGTGTTCCACAGAGGATGATGCTGAGCATATCCAGAAGCTTTTCCTGGATTGTACATTTGATTGGGGGGATGTAGTGGACCATGTCGACCAAGGCTTGTGTCAATAACTTGCTGAGACCGCAGGCGAAAATCGGGTCAAGTAGAGCCTCCATATACTTGCTGAGGACTTCGCCCACAGCCAGCGAGAGTATGCTGATACACTCGAACATGGGAGCCTCATTGACCCCGGCTCGATTTCGCGCCTTCATTGCAAGTCCCTCTTGGATGTAGATGATGATACTGTCAAGGTATTGGGTGATTGCTGGGCCCACTGCATTCGCGATCTTACCGATGGCGATAAATACTGAATTGCGCTCTTTATCTCTTTTGAGCCGCGTTTGGAGGTAAATTATGAATCGGTGGAGGTAGATTTCAACGAAGTCGGTCGGGACGTAGGATGCAAGGATAGGGATAGTGAGGACGACTTGGGATCGAATCTTCGGGTCACGGTGGTCCTTGAGGTGGAGGACAATATCGCAAGCGTTGCGGTAGTGCTCCTTTATGAACATAGCCCCCTTCAAGATCAGCTCTTTGAGGATCAAGAGAGAGCCATGAGTCCAGTCCATGTTATGAGATTTCAAGCCCAGGAGTGCCTCTTCGTAAATTCGGGCAAACCATGACTGGCGGACTTGGACATCACGAGGGGCGATGATTTCGAAGCATTCACCCACAGCCTCCGCAGCAGTTTCTCGAATAAGGATTTTGGGATCTCGAAGCGCAACCCAGACAAGCTCGAAGATCCGAGGAACGAACCCGTAGAGTAGGGTGGGCGAGCCTTTTGCCAGCTCTCGAATCACCAGCACGGCGGCGAATCGACGACTTTCCTGACGTTCTGATTGCAACCATTCCAGCGCAGACTGGATTTCACTTTCAAGTTCCGCAGTGAGAGCGCCGCCGGGCTTTGCCAGACGGCCGAGCGAACGAGCAGCGTAGATGAGCACAACATTGTCATTACTCCGTAGGGCATTTCGTAGGTAACTGGCGAATCGCGTTGTCTTCTGGGCAGTGTCGACTTCGTCGAATTCGATGAGACGGTCGAGTGCGAGGAGGCCGCCGACTCGTTCGTTGGCACCGCTGCCGGTCACGACCAGCTGGGCGATTCGCTGACTGACCGCGTTGTAAAACTCCACGAACTTCTCGGAGGGCCAGTCTAAGTGAGAGCAACAGGATCAGCTGGGGTTAGAAGCTTGCGAGGCTTTGGAACTTGGCCATACCTCGTGAGACCGAAAGAACATTGTCGTAGAGCTCGTAAGCAGCTCGAACCCGGGTCTCCTCATTCTTCGATTGCAGATCCGCGAACAATCTTTGGGTCACATCTGTGACAGGGCCTGCTTGCGCCATAAATGCGAGCTACACCCCCAGGTGGACATTGGAAGCCAACCGCTGGGGAAGAGCAGAAGCGCAGGGCGCATGAGTTGGAGGAAAGAGAGGTGTTGATATGTGGAGGAGGGAAAAGGTACCAACGCCTCCGCGAGAACCCAATGGTCTTTTTTAAGTGTATCAGTCAACACGGCCCCAACCGGACTGAGCTTGGGTCTGTTTGATAAGAAACTGCAGGGGTCCTCTGTAGTTTGGGCTAGTCCATACGGGAGTATAGGCAGTTCGGCGCCAGACGGCGACATCCGCCAAAAATAATGCGGCCAAGAAACGTCCGCCGGAGCTGTTGTGCGTTTGCTTAAGGTGCATCTCCTCATTGAGCCATGCTGGCTAATATCCAGCTTATCGTCCGGCGTGAGTTGTTTCCTATCCCCTGCACGAACATATGGACAGAGTGTTCAATTCGCCGGAGATCCCTGTCGCGCTACGGGTGGACTGATCCGACTGGTTTGTCTTTCCCAGCAATACCTGCCTAGGTACCTCGGGTAGGTCGCTCCTTATCGATCGTCCACCTAAATCGTTCTCCCGTCCTCGAGGGCTTGCCTCCATAAACAAAGATTGCATGTACCCATGTAGGGAATGGAGCTTACCGACCAATAGAGAATAGAAATGCTTTACTACGATGTCCCTTCATAAGGGCCAGCGCTACTCATCCCATAGAGGATTTCACCTACGGAGGATATCAGCGACGCATATCATCCCCGCTATCCCTCAGCTCCAGCACCTCCAGCACCTCACTCTCTCACAATTACCCGCGCACCTACTTACCTAGGTATGCAGCATCCGTCCTATCCACCACAGCGTGTATGCCAGTCATGATCTCCCATCCGCTTATGGAGGGTCGTACTCGGGTCAAGGAGACCCTCACCAAGGGCTACGCACCATCACATTTCTCCCGCAACTTGGAGCTCATTCCCGTCGAGGACAACCGAAGCCCCACGTCGCTGTCCATGAAGAGCAAAAGTGCCAGCACACGTGAGAGAGCGGCCTGCTTGCGCGTAATGGAGCCCCTCATGCTCATCTGGTAAGCGGCAGCCTTCCCTATGGGGCAGTGGTCCGGGGGCAGGAAGATGAGCGGCTCCATATTTGAATCCTTGGTGTAACAAGTTCCTGCATATGTGGCTCAGGCACCGCCGCTACTCTCAGTGGTGACCAATGATCTTGATCGACTGGGTCAGAAATACCCACATTACAGGATGCTCCAGGATTTCTTAGATAGTAAGTCCGGGGTCCAACGGTCGTCAATCCTTTTCGCAGTAGACATTAGGGTCAACATTAGGGTCAACATTAGGGTCAACAT